TTTGAAATTTTGGTATCACGGATATCAGACGATATTCTGCCTCTTCTATCGAGAAATAACTGGATATATGTATGTTGCTTTAATGATTCTTGTATGATTAATGCGTTAATTAAAATTGTAATCGCAAATGTTTTATCTTCGTAGAACATATTTTAATGTACGTATTTTTATTTATTTGGCTAAACAAACTATTATTCTTTTTTTATTTTTATTGCTTAGATGGGTGGACGAGCTCACAGCCCACCTGGTGTTAAGTGGTTACTGGAGCCCATAGACATCTACAACGTAAATGCGCCACATACCTTGAGATATAAGTTCTAAGGTCTCAGTATAGTTACAACGGCTTCCCCACCCTTCAAACCGAAACGCATTACTGCTTCACGGCGGAAACAGGAGGGGCGGTGGTACCTACCTACCGGTGCGGACTCACAAGAGGTCCTACCACCAGTAATTACGCAAATTATAATTTTGCGGGTTTGATTTTTATTACACGATGTTATTCCTTCACCGTGGAAGTCAGTTGTGAACATTTGTTAAGCACGTATTTCATTACAAAAATTGGTACCCGCCTGCGGGATTCGAACACCGGTTCATCGCTAGATACGAATGCACCGGACGTCTTATCCTTTAGGCCACGAAGACTTCACTCATTAACTTATATATCAGAAGTGAACAAAATGATAAAGTAGCTAAATTGTTAGGTTATCCAAATTTTTCAGCAAAATTTCTTTTATAAGGAATAGGATACACCTTGTTATTTACTTTAGGTAAACCTATAATATTTCTAAATTATTTATTAAATATTTAGGATTAGCATATTAAGGAGATTGTATTTTGTTCGCACATAGTTGAGTGACTATTTAGTATTCACGTTACGTTGGTGGGAGCTAGCTAATAGAAAAGTTTTAGTTTCAATTTTACCGCGACTTGTTTCATCAATACCGGCAAAACTTCCTAGACTGCATTTAAACTTGTTGGTACTTTAAAATGTTTTACTGGTTTTCAGTCGCCGCTTTAAGGTTAAATATGTTTGATGTATTTATTTCACTTGGGATCCGGATGCGTTTGTACCTGATAGACCAATTTAATGAAAAAGGAAGAAAAAAACCGGGAACCATTTTTAGTATACGCGTTATTTTATTGATGACTAGCTGACCCGGCAGACTTCGTAGTGCCCCAATCGATAAATAAAAGACACATCAAGGGGACACATCAAAGGAAAAACAAAAAGCTTTTTTATATTTTTTCACCTTTTAAACTTTCTCTGGACTTCCACAAATAATTCAAGATCAAAATTAGCCAAATCGGTTCAGCCGTTCTCGAGTTTTAGTGAGACTAACAAACAGCAATTCATTTTTATATACAGAGATTATGGCTTAAATATTAATCGTACAGGTTTGTATTTTCCCGACAATTTTTAATGTATATGAGAGTATCATGACTGGATTTTAATATATAAATGTGGGTAGACATTTATCGCAACCTTGTTAACGCGTTGGCGTGCTTATGCGCGTCTTCCATCGACAGTAATTATGAAAAATTGACGTACTTGAAATAACAACTCACCTAATAGCATTGGTGTTTTATTAAATTAAAAATGTGTGTGGCAGTTACATTTTTAATTTTTTTTATTGATTAGATGGGAGGACGAGCTCACGGCCCACCTGGTGTTAAGCGGTTACCGGAGCCCATAGACATCTACAACGTAAATACCGCCACCCCAAGACATGAGTTCTAAGATCTACATTTTTACAGTACAACGGCTGCCCTACTTTTCCAATCTAAACGCATTACTGCCTCACGGCCCACTGAGTTTCTCGCCGGATCTTCTCAGTGGGTCGCGTTTCCGATCCGGTGGTAGATTCTGCGAAGCACGGCTCTTGCTAGGGTTCGTGTTAACAACGTCATCAGGTTTGAGCCCCGTGAGCTCACCTACAAACGTTAGGGTTACGCTGAAATAGCCTCTCAAGGCTCTCAGCTTAGGTAGGAAAAAAAAAAAAACTGCCTCACGACAGAAATAGGCAGGGTGTTGGTACCTGTCCTCTTTGTTATCTTGATGAGGTACCTATGAATTCCACCTAAAAAACAAAAGGCATCGTAAAATCGATTCGATAATTTTCTTTTTATGTTCGACAGAATCGATATTTCATTGACTAAACAGACGGAATAAAACAAGACGATTAGTGCATATAGGTACAAGGATGCCACGATCTACATGACGTAATGCAGTTATTGGAACGAATAGAGATCACAAATCGAAACATGTCGTCTACCTTGATTGAGTCTTATGTCGAAATCATATTTACCATAAAACAATATATGAGTCGACTATTATCAAAGGCGGCAATCTGACTTTTGGACAATGATTGGTAAATAAGAAAAACGAATTATTGACTTTGTATTCCATTGGCAGTCACAAAACTCTTCGGAACGACATCTTAGATAAATAACAGGTTAACTATTAACCTTTATTTAATGCAGGTTTTGAACCGTATTCTTTGAAGGAGACGATTATATTCAAATAAATCTGTATTGACATATCAATAAAAATTTTTTGTCCAAATGTACAGATTGCCGCCTTTGATAATAGACGACTCATATTTAGCCTTTGAAACGCTTCACTTTCGATATATTATTTATTAGTAGTTTCATTCGTTTCATGTAATTACTATCGTAAAATGATCTTTATTATCTTACAATAAACATTACATCAGTGCCCAGTTAACTACATTTCGTACAATAAGTGTTGACAAACAGTGAACTAATTTCCATATTCAGACTTGATTGCAGTTGCAATGTACGTTATAAATGGCGATAGTCGCATTGCGTAGTAAACCTGCATAGACGAGCGTACAAACTGCCGCGAATGAGATCATGTTGTAATACTATGCCTATTTAAATTTACGTCTACTTTATACAGATCGAACGCGCGATAAACATTATTTACGTCAAAGCTACTTTAAATTACCCAGTAGCTGTTATTACATTCCTACTGTTTTCTAGTACAGTTATTTCAAATTTTATAATGACTTTTAAGTACTACGATAACGAACCTGCACAAATAGTATACATTTATTTAAATGCATGTTATTTATTTCTAGTATAACGACTGTCTAAAATTACATAGGCCTGCCGGTTGACCTTGTCAATCATGACTTTTTAAGTGTCGGAAATGTTCGATTATATTGCGTGAATTTACAGACGCGCGTTCATAGCGCTCGTTTGTACAAACACACGTGTTCTCACAGCTGATATTTGAGTTCATACCTCGGGCACGGGCCTCGTATGAGGTCACATATCAAGTTCACATACTTGTTCCGTCGTTAAACCTGTTAGCCGCCATCGAAATGTGCGTATTATTTTGCTTACGTAACATTCTAGTTACGTTTCCGTGTGAGATCCTTTCCTAGTTTGCAATAAGTTTCGTAAATTAGCTGTTTTGACATTAAATAAGTACTTTGATCAAGGACAAGGCTTATATACAGAGTAGCATTTAAAAACGTTCTATTATTATGATTGTTAACATATATCTATATATTAATACGTGAAGCAAAAACTTTGTATCCCTTTTTACGAAAATTGCGTGGACGGAGGAGTATGAAATTTTCCAAACTTATAGAGAATATAGAGAAGAAGTGCACAATGCTAATATTTTTTTTAAATAATGCATAAAAGATACATTAAATCAGTAAAGAAAACATTACACACACTACATACCATGTATTTGACGCACACACGCATGCATACTATTTATTGTCAAACTTTTGTTCTTGACGTCTGTTGTCACATTGAGAATAGATTAAATATTCTTTGTCTTTGTTAATATTTTTTATAGTATAGTCAAAATTTGTGATTATAGAAGTATAAAATACAATCATAATAGTGTACAAACTTACAATTCCAATTAATTATAGTCGAATTTCGACTACTGCGGGACCTCTAGTTCACACTAAATTATAACTGTGATTTACAATAGAATTCATTGAGACATTGACATTCAAAGCAAATTAGTGTGAGACCGTTTTTATCGCATACGTCACGAATGTCACATTACAACGATTGTCCTAAATGTTCATATTGATTTATCGAATTTAGAACACACGTAACGAGATCAAGAATACATTTTGAAAGTGACAAGGTCGCGGAAGACCCACCGCTGTGAAATGTATTTGTATTTTGCGTTTGATCGATAGAAGCAGATCGAATTACAGATAACATGACGGCTTACTTAAGTATTAATCTGATTAAAACGCTCTTTGTTCTCTCGATTAAGCTTCGATTTGACTTATATCTCAATTCGTGTGTATGTAAAGTACTAAATGTCTACGTGATATACTATAAGTGGGGCAATTTCATATCTAATGGTCTAAAAATTACATCGTTGTAATTCCGACCTTGCTTATAAATAATGCGATACAATCAAAATTAGATTATCAGTTTCTTTGACTTAAATGACCCGAAACTCCGTGTACGTTATAATGTTAAAGTTTTTATTTCTAATTAGGTGGGTGTTACATACATTTATAATGCCGCAAAGAGACTGGCTGAATTTATTAGGTATAGGTGTTTGATTGCGTGTAATATGTTTGTATCGTTTTATCATTGTTATTGAAGAAATTCGAGAGTTGCTGCTTTGTTTGAAATTATTAATAATGATTTAATTTTTTTTCTTCTACCTATACTGATAGCCTTGAGAGGCTATTTCAGCTTCACCCTAAAATGTAGGTGTGCTCACGGGGCTCAAACCGGAAGTGTTGCTAACACTGGCCCTAGCAAGAGCAGTGCTTCGCAGAATCTACCACCGGATCGGAAACGCGACCCACTGAGAAGATCCGGCGAGAAACTCAGTGGGCTGTATCTATGGGTTAATTCGCTCGTCGAGCCCTTCGTCGCAAGCGACGGGTTCGATGAGGACCGGTGCTTGTGGTACCTAAAAGCACCGTTAAAGTATCAGGAGGTATTTAAATAAATATATGTTTTAATACTTCTCTTTGTTTCAGGCTCTTGTATTGTGCGCCTATGTAGCGCTTACCTCAGCCCAGTTCGGCTACGGAGGCTTTGCAGACTTCGGCAGTAGTTTTGGTGGTAACTTCAACTACCTTTCGGCCGCTGCCAGAGATCCGAGGGCGAATCCTGGTAAACTATTAAATTGTTGAGTAAAATCGTAAAATAGTTGATTAGTTATATAATCTTACCGTTCTATTTCCGTTTTCTTGACACTTTAATATAATTAGATTATGACTAGATGATTTTTGTTGATAACGCCATCTTGTTGTGTCTTTAAAGTGGTTGATTGCCCTCAATTAAGAAAAATTGTATTATTATTCGCCAAAAGACACGGGAAGAGTTGATTATTGAAAACACGAATAAAACAACATTTTCTGAAAATAAATCGTAGCTAGATCGATTTATCGCCCCCGAAATCCCTTGTATACTTAAATTTTATGAAAATCGTTGGAGCCGTTTCCGAGATTCAGATTATTGTATATATTAATATACAAGAATTGCTCGTTTAAAGGTATAAGATTGAAATTCGCATGCGCAGTTACGTTTCGACGGTTTTGGTAACCTTTTTATATTTGGCTGTAGTTTATTGTTGTTTGAACAAACAGATATGCAAAAGATAAATTTAAGTAGCTTTTAATTTGAAATACAGAGTCATGACCACATAATTGTTGACACAAGTCACCCAACCGTCAACGCATTTTTATTTTATTCATGACCAGAATTTGAAGGTTGACGAACAATTGCATAGCTCTTATCTCACAGTTTATGTGAGTTGCGAAAACAAATACCTCAGAGTTCATAACTAAGGTTGTTTCCATACGTTTCTAGCATAAAGTATTTGCAGAGCCTTGGGAACTAGTTAATTCACATCACATTTTATTTAAATTCACTATTACTGACATAGTTTGAGATTTAGATAAGTATTCGCAATGAGTAACATAACATTTGAATTTAGATTTTCGTTTCATCAAAGAGCCCACGGCTCAAACATTAGGTTTCTTTTATTTAGTACTCTTGGTAGTCGGTAGTAGTTATTTAGTGGTCCTGGTAGTCGTCGTGGCCTAAAGGATAAAACGTCCGGTGCATTCGTGTTGATCGATGCACCGTTGTTCGAATCTCAGGCGGGTATCAATTTTTCTAATGAAATACGTACTCAACAAATGTTCACGATTAACTTCCACTGATAAGAAGAACTTCTACGGTGAAAGAATAACATCGTGTAATAAAAATCAAACCCTCTTATCTTCTTAGCAACTCAACTTAACTTAACAACTTAGGATCTTCTTAGCAACCTGTTAATACAGGCCTCTTGATGCTTTTTGATGATTAGCGTGCATAGCCGCAGAGACCAACATAAAATGTTATTGTAAATATAATACAAACCTGGTAAACTTATGTATTATTGTTATTTCCGACTATTTGGCTATGGATTTGTTACTGTAATGTATCATTGTGCGGGTTTTTTTTTGGGTCAGTAGGAAACCCCACGGCTTTGTGGTGGTGGGTGGACATATCGGAGTTGAACCGGACAAAGCCCGTGTTTTATTGTATATTTAGTAAAAACTCACACACTTAATTTTTTGTATCATTTACATTAATTACATTTACATTAATATTAATTGCGAAAATTTTAAATTTCACTACCATAAGTAATCTGGGAGGTGCTCAGATAACCAAGAAAAGCGAAACCAATATTTAACTTGTTAAAGGAAATAATTCATTCAGTTGCTGAAATGTAGCATAACTGGTATTTATTATTGTATTACAAAATGATTTGGAATTTCAATATAAATTTTATTTATGTGTAACTAAATCCGGCCACGCTTTACTGTGGCTTTGCCTGTTATTAATAACTTCCTATTTGAATCAAATTTTAATCAAAATTTTATTGTTTTTTTTTGGTGCTAAAACCGGTTTCTTGTTTTAGCCGACTTCAAAAAAGGAGGAGGTTCTCAATTCGTCTGTATGTTTTTTTATGTTTGTTACTTCATAACTTTTGACTGGGTGAAACGATTTTGATGATTCTTTTTTTATTAGAAAGCTGACGCTTCCCGTGTGGTCCCATTTCGTCCAGTTCTGATAATGGCATCCATGACAAAACTATATAAGGCTTAAATTTGCATTAAGTACCTGCGCGAAAATTTATGAATAACTCAATATTACGCCAACCGATTTCGATGATTATTGTTTTTAGTGTATATTAATTTGTTTTGGAATATCTTTTTTTCTACTTGAAGTCGGTTTTTGTTAAAGCATGTCTATTTACAAATATAAAGTATGTTTAAGAAGCTTAGGTTATTCCTTATAATATCGGCTATCAGATAACTCTGATATCTATAAGTCTCGTAAAAATCAGTTCCGCTATTACGGAGACCATCCGAAACAATTAAAAACAAAAGAAAATGTTTTTGCTAACAGTGCCTACCTTATTTACTTTCATAAAGGAATTTATTAAAAAGCTGTTATTTTGAGATTACAAACAGAAACAACAATTTTATTATTATTTTTTGATTTTCTTGTTTGAGACCAGAAAACACCCGAATTAAATGAAGAATACTGCTTATGTAATTCCCAATTACATCTATATAAGTTTTACTGTTTAAGTTTTATTTACATCTAAACCTCTAGCCAGAGCGTAGTATAAATATCATAGAAAATAATTAAATGCTTTTTAGAGTTTTGATTACCTGAAGTAATAACAGACTATTTATTCGATCTTCTATTACAACTTCCTGACTATCCGTTAATAAAAATAAAAATTATTTTATTTGGGGATCTGGGAAAATGAGATGATTTTTATACCCACCCATGTCTATTGTTAATTTTACTACTCTTATTTATAATTATTTACGCTGTTAAATAATGTATATGTGGAAGTATTAACGCAGGGACGTATTCGGTTTCATATCGATTCCACATTTCGATGTAATTTCCGTATGTGTGTTAGTTGACACTCTTAAGAAGTAGTGGTCTTATTAGGTAATCTCTATATATAAAAATGAATTGCTGTTTGTTAGTCTCGCTAAAACTCGAGAACGGCTGGACCGATTTGGCTAATTTTGGTTTTGAATTATTCGTGGAAGTCCAGGGAAGGTTTAAAAGGTGAGAAAATATAAAAAAGCTCGGAATTACATAAAAACAAACAATTTTGTTTTTCCTTTGATGTGTCCCCTTGATGTGTCTTTTATTTATCGATTGAGGCACTACGAAGTCTGCCGGATCAGCTAGTAATGTTATAAAGTATAGTAATTGAATATGTAGGGTATGGATAGGAATTTGTAATTGTATAAGCGTAGGTTGTATTGTGGATGCGTTTGATCCGCCTTGTGGTTTGCTGACGTGGGCGATAACGAAAATTAAATAATGATTATTTCGAGTTCATGTTATTTTACAAAAAAATATCCACAGATCAACCTTATTGATTTTAAATGTATTGATTGTGCCTTTTGAATGTTTACATTCCAAAATCAATAATTGGAGTTTATTTATTTATTTAGACACACCAACAGCAATACACACAAAACATTCAAGCTTAAAATTAACATGTATAAAATTAAGCACTGGTATGTAAGCCAGTTACAGGCATGTACAGCAATCTCTTATAACAAACTATGACATGTTACAGCAATTTTACAAACAGCGGAAAAATAGGCTTAATTTAAATGTTAACAGTACGACAAAAAAGTATATTTGAAAACAACATGAAAACAAGAGCTAAATACACACAATACTAACGTCACAGATTACTAAATCAAAAAGTCGAGTTAAAGCGTAAACAAAAAATTAACATTTCGGTTAACATTTCAGAAGTTTACTCACCACGTTTTATTGCTAACTATGACTTCGTATCTGTAGGAGTCGCAACGGATCTTTCAAACAATACACGGGTTCTGCAACATTTTTACGCATTAATTAATCAATAAAAAACAATCCATCTTAATTATTCATTCCTTTTAATGTAACGATCCGAGTCTGTTGCTTGTAATAAATTGTATGAAATGGCCGTTACACAAATGTTTGTACGGTTAGCAGATTAATCAATAAATTATACTATTATTGGTCGCTGTAGCAAGCTTGTTAGTTGCTCAATGATATTCTTTTGTGAGTTTTTTTTTTAATTTATACCATTGTGTAGAGCAACGAAGCTCACGGCCCACTAGAGCTAAACTGGTTATTGGAGCCCATATATACGTAATAACGTGAATGCCTCCATTCTTGAGTCTTGAGGTCGAATCCTCAATTATGCTGTGTAATTGGCCATCCCACACATCAAATCAGAACGCATCTTGCGGGCTTACAATAGACAGTCAATGTGCCAGTTAACGATCCCAGTGTGCATATATAATAACTCAGAGAATGATGATTTCAATTCTCCGGAGAATACCTTTGTCGCCTTTTACGACACACCCGGGAGGAGATAGATAGGTTTGTGCTATTCTAGACCAAATCCAGAAACTATTACAAATTTATAGAGATAGAACAAATATTCCTTACTATAAGCCGCGCTTAAAAGTTAGAGTATAATTCATTGTTATTTTATAGTTTGATTTGGCCCCAAATAGCTTTGCATGTAAAGAATTTCAAAGCAATTTTCAGATACAATGTTTTCATTTACTTCACATATAAAAGAGAAAAGAAAATAGAAGTGGAGAGAGAATGAAGACATCGAAAGCTCTGACAGACACTATTTGTTCTGAAACTTAATATGAGTTCGTTATGATTTGACTTGAATTGGTACAGTTAGCAACAAAGCTACGTGCAGTGTTCTAAGGAAGTAAGGACAGTGCAAAAGATACACAACGTAAATATGTAGAACAAAGTTTGAAACTTCAAGAATGAAAAAAAAAACTGTCGAAACAATTCAATCAATTTTTCCGCTTCAACTTTAAATGTGGTGCTTGTACTGGTTTTCATTTAAAATAGTGAGAAGAGCATATCATACAAATATGTTCGTACAAATATGCGCTCAAAAACAATTTGCCCTTCCCTCTTTCGGAAGACGGTTACACATAATATACATATACGTTCTTATGTACGAATATGCATGTATAGATATAATATGTATATACACAGATCTTCTTCTTTTTTTTTTTATTGCCCTTGTAGGCAAACGAGCATACGGCTCACCT